GGAAGAGGAAGAGGAAGAGGAAGGGGAAGGGGCAGGACCTGATGTGGAAGTTCTGGACGTTGACGTTCTTGTAGGGCGCCGTCTTCCGCTGGCACCAGAGCAGGAGCCCCTCCTTGGCCGAGGTCTCTGCGGGAGCAGGGATTGGGCGACCCCGGCAGCGGATCCCGGGAGATCCCCGACCCCGGGAGCGGATCCCGGGAGATCCCCGACCCCGGGAGATGATCCCGGGAGATCCCCGACCCCGGGAGATGATCCCGGGAGATCCCCGACCCCGGCGGCGGATCCCGGGAGATCCCCGACCCCGGCAGCGGATCCCGGGAGATCCCCGACCCCGGCAGCGGATCCCGGGAGATCCCTGACCCCGGGGGCCGATCCCGGGAGATCCCCGACCCCGGGAGCCGATCCCGGGGCGGATCCCGTGTGGATTCCCCCAATCCCAGGAGCAGATCCCGGGGCAGATCCCGTGTGGATCCCCCGACCCCAGGAGCAGATCCCATGTGGATCCCGTGTGGATCCCCCGACCCTGGGAACAGATCCCGTGTGGATCCCCCAATCCCAGATGCAGATCCCGTGTGGGTCCCCCAATCCCAGAGCAGATCCCGGGGCGGATCCTGTGTGGATCCCCCGACCCCGGGAGCAGATCCCAGGGCAGATCCCGTGTGGATCCCGTGTGGATCCCCCGACCCCGGGAGCAGATCCCGTGCGGATCCCGTGTGGATCCCCCAATCCCAGGAGCGGATCCCATGTGGATCCCGTGTGGATCCCCCAATCCCAGGAGCAGATCCTGGGGCAGATCCCGTGTGGATCCCCAATCCCAGAGGCAGATCCCGTGTGGATCCCCCGACCCCGGGAGCAGATCCCAGTGCATATCCCGTGTGGATCCCCCAATCCCAGAGGCAGATCCCATGGCGGATCCAGTGTGGATCCCCCAATCCCAGAGGCGGATCCCGTGTGGATCCCCCGACCCCAGGAGCAGATCCCAGTGCGGATCCCGTGTGGATCCCCCGAGGCCGGGAGCAGATCCCAGTGCAGATCCTGTGTGGATCCCCCAATCCCAGAGCAGATCCCAGTGCGGATCCCGTGTTGATCCCCCAATCCCAGGAGCAGATCCCGTGGCGGATCCTGTGTGGATCCCCCGACGCCGGGAGCGGATCCCAGTGCGGATCCCGTGTGGATGCCCCGACCCCGGGAGCGGATCCCGGGGCTGATCCCGTGTGGATCCCCCGACCCCGGGAGCGGATCCCGTGTGGATCCCCAATCTCAGGAGCAGATCCCAGGGCTGATCCCGTGTGGATCCCCCAATCCCAGAGCGGATCCCAGTGCAGATCCCGTGTGGATCCCCCGACCCCGGGAGCAGATCCCAGTGCGGATCCCGTGTGGATGCCCCGACCCCGGGAGCGGATCCCGCGCGCCGTTACCCTCCACGGAGATGTCCTGGATGGCGAAGCGCAGGATGATCGTCCAGATCATGCCCAGCGTCATCTTGGCGTTCCCGTCCACGATCTCTGCGGGGAGAGCCACAGGGAGCGGATTCCGGCTGGGAATTCCCAGCGGGAACCACGGGGCCCTGGGATCCCGGGAATGCCGGGGCGGATCCACAGGAGCGGAAGGCCAAAGCGAACGGATCCCGCATTCGGGAATCCACGGGATCCGGGAACGGCGGGATCCTGGGTCTAGGGAGTCTTAGGACACGAAGTTCTGGAATTGCGGGACCCAGAAATCATGGAAGCCTGGGATGAGGGGATGCAGGGTTTGTGGGACTGCGGAACTGGAATCACAGATCCCGGAATTACGGAGCCACAGATCCCGTTTGTTACAGAACCACGGAATCCCGGGATTATGGAATTACAGATCCCGTTCGTTACAGAACCACGGAATCCCGGGATTATGGAATTACAGATCCCGTTCGTTACAGAACCACGGAATCCCGGGATTATGGAATTACAGATCCCGTTTGTTACAGAACCACGGAATCCCGGGATTATGGAATTACAGATCCCGTTNAGAACCACGGAATCCCGGGATTATGGAATTACAGATCCCGTTTGTTACAGAACCACGGAATTCCGGGATTGTGGAATTACAGATCCCGTTCATTAGAGAACCACGGAATTCCAGGATTGTGGAATTACAGATCCCGTTTGTTACAGAACCACGGAATCACGGGATTATGGAATTACAGATCCCATTCATTAGAGAACCACGGAATTCCAGGATTGTGGAATTACAGATCCCGTTCATTAGAGAACCATGGAATTCCAGGATTATGGAATTACAGATCCCGTTTGTTACAGAACCATGGAATCCCGGGATTATGGAACCACAGATCCCATTCATTACAGAACCACGGAATTCCAGGATTGTGGAATTACAGATCCCATTCATTAGAGAACCACGGAATTCCAGGATTATGGAATTACAGATCCCATTCATTAGAGAACCACGGAATTCCGGGATTATGGAATTACAGATCCCATTTGTTACAGAACCACGGAATTCCAGGATTATGGAATTACAGATCCCGTTTGTTACAGAACCATGGAATACCGGGATTATGGAATTACAGATCCCGTTTGTTACAGAACCATGGAATACCGGGATTATGGAATTACAGATCCCATTCATTACAGAACCACAGAATCCCGGGATTATGGAATTACAGATCCCGTTCATTAGAGAATCACGGAATTCCAGGATTGTGGAACTACAGATCCCATTCATTAGAGAACCACGGAATTCCAGGATTGTGGAACTACAGATCCCGTTCATTAGAGAACCACGGAATTCCAGGATTGTGGAACTACAGATCCCATTCATTAGAGAACCATGGAATTCCAGGATTGTGGAATTACAGATCCCATTCATTAGAGAACCACGGAATTCCGGGATTATGGAACCGCTGGGGCTGGAAAGGACCTGGAAACCCACGGAGGGAGGAACCCCACATGGGAGGGCAGCGGGAGGAATTCCGGGCTCCTCATCCCCATCCCACATTCCAGCAGGGCCTCCAGCAGCCCCAGCCCAGTTTTTTGGGAATTCCTGGGACGGGGGCGGGCGCCGGGCGTCTCCCGGCTCGGGGCCGGTCGGGAC